GGGAGTCTGTTAGGAGCCGTGATCGGCGGGCAGATCGAAGATTCCGGCGATTACGACGGCGTCGAGTTCTGGGTAAACCCTGAACGAACCGGTTGGCTCACGAAACAGGGCGAGTACATCAAGACATGGCGTCGCAGGTGGTTCGTGCTGAAGCAGGGGAAGCTCTTCTGGTTCAAGGAATCGATCATCACTCGCACGTCGCGCCCACGCGGCGTCATCCCTGTCGGGTCGTGCCTCACGGTGAAGGGCGCGGAGGATGTCCTGAACAAGCAGAACGCGTTCGAACTGTCGACGAGGACGGAGACGATGTACTTCATCGCCGATTCGGAGAAGGAGAAGGAGGACTGGATCAACTCGATCGGACGGTCCATTGTGCAGAACTCGAGATCCGTCACCGATTCCGAGGTCGTCGATTACGACAGCAAGCGGTAAAACCGGTCCGGCGAGATGGGAAATCGTCAGTGCCGGTGCGTGGGTACGATCATGTGGTGTATCTCTGTATGTATGTATGTATGTATGTATGTATGTATGTATGTATATTGTGACTGTGAGAAAAGGGCTTGTAATTGAAGGAACAATCTCCCATTCCATGAATTTCAACATGGTTCTCTGTTAAGTGATCAATGATTGAACCCAGAGCTTAAGCCATGCTCGTCATCTGGTCGGTCCATGTTTGTGTCAGAGCTTCATTCATGGAGGTGACGGGAATATCTGAAAGGCGAGAGGTTTTGTGATTGTGATTATGCATCGTTCGTTTCGTTAACGATGCAAGTCTTAGCACAGAAAGTAGAAATCTTTATAGCTCAGAAGCGTATCTCCGAGAGCTATGTGATTGTGATCATGCATTATAATTGGCAATTCAAATCTTAGCACATAAAGTGGAAAACTTTATTACCGAGGAGCGATCTCGGATCATGCAGCAGCTGAAGATAGCAATGTTCATGGTTACAGGTCTGAGTTCTTGAGGAAGATATGCAAGCTTAAATCTGTGATGAGCCCTAGGGTCGGTAACCTGAGTTTTCGACCTCGCCTTTTACATCTCTCGGTCAAGTTATCCGGTTTCGACCCCATAGGGTCAGTATCTGAATTCGGGTACCGTGGGATGTAGGCTTAGGTACTCGCTGGTCGTCTCGAACCAGCGAGGGGGTCGAGGTTAGAGGATAAAAGTCGAGGCGAGAGGGTTTAGGCGAGACCCAAATTCCACAAATTTCATTCCGGCAAAGTTACAGAGCGTTTCCAATGAATGAAATCGAAATCGTCACTACAATTGTCCCATCCATTAACCAAAAATACAAATCTACAATAAAAAAGGGAAAAAATCAAAATGAAGAGCTTGCTTTTATACACATGGAGATGGAGAAAGTATAAACTCTTCCTCTACTTCTGTCTCTCTGAGCCTTCATGATCTCAGGCCAAAGAAAATCATATCCCTTTCATTTGTTGACGAAAGCCGATTCAGCCAAGTCAATGGCACGGGCAAGGCCCGCGGCTTTGTTCTGGCACTCGCGGTGCTCATCGTCAGGATCGCTGTCAGCTACGATGCCCGCTCCTGCTTGAAGGTAAGCCACCCACTCTCGGCGTTTGTTCGAGTCCTTGTAAGAGTACATTGTGTTGTACTGAGTTCCTGTCGGGAAGACTATTGTCCGAAGCGCCAGAGCTATGTCCATGTCTCCTGTGAACGAGACCCCTCCAAATCCGCCGCTGTACGGTCCTCGTCTTGTCGCCTCGAACTCGTCGATCAGTTCCATTGCCTTTACCTGAAAAACGAAACATATGATCAGAGAAGTGAACTGCTATTATTGTCCAAAAACTCGGGTTTCCGTTTAACACCTTTGGCGCTCCGCTAACTGTTCCTACTGGCAAGGCGGCACGGAGAGTGTCCCAGCAAGTGAGATCATCTTGCAACTCTCCCGTCACCTGTGCATATGTCGAATCGATTACGTAAAAAAAATGCCCCAGGAAATACGGAATTCGTTACGTGAAACCTGAACTGGTCAAAACTCACCGTGGAGCTGATATGCATAACATGGGAATATCGTTCGATGTTCATAAGCTTCTCTACCTTCACGGAACCGTACTTCGCCACCTGCATTGTGTTTTGTCTTTTTTAGGATAATGTTGTCGGAAAAAGACAGATATCGTCTCGTAAGTTGGATGAAGAGAGAATAGGAGCTGACCTTTCCAACGTCATTGCGACCCAGGTCGACCAGCATGATGTGTTCTGCACATTGCTTTTCGTTATTTAGCAGCTCCTTCTCAAACATCTCATCCTCAGTGGCCGTCTTTCCTCTCCTGCTCGTTCCCGCTAAGGGTCGGTTCACTATCTTGTTCTGCTTAGAAGGGGAAACAAATTAGTTAACACCATCTTTTGCTTCGGTCTCGATAAGTAATGCAAAATCAGCAAGAATTTACCTTCTTTACTCTGGTGAGAATCTCGGGACTTGATGCCACCATAATGCAGCCCCTGGCCTGATGAAGTAAGAAGAGAAGGGCATTCGATTAAAGACGATTTTCGAATTTTCTGTATCAAGAAACATTGTGTGACTAGTGTTGTAAAATGTTTCACCTGCAAATAACCCATATATGGACTTGGATTCACGACTCGTAGAGCTCTATAGACTTCGAAGGGATCGGCGAATGTCCTCCGTTCGAAACGTTGACTCAATACAATCTGGAAGATGTCCCCTGCGAGTATATGCTCTTTAGCCTTCACCACTGCTTCCTTATACTCTTCGCACGTCATGTTTGATTTCTTCAAAGACGGCCCAAATTGACGTGTCTGAAGATTCACGCTACCTGCGGGCAGCCTTGGCCTGTAGAGTGACAGGGAAATCGAGTTGACGAGAAACTCCCGACCAAGATCTCACGTAAATGGTAGAGTGAAGGCACACAAGTAGAATAACGAGTTCTTACAGATCGATATCCTGCAACTTAGCCACCAACTTTTCTAGATGTTGCGTTCCATCGCTGTATGCCTTCTCAAAGGAAGATTTCCCGTCTAGTCTAATCCAGTGAATAACATATGCTTTCTGAACAAACATATGGAGAACATCAAGTTACCATTTTGAAATATCGCAGGTCAGTCGAGCAACAATTGAACCGTAAGCACCATTTTGTAATATCGAAAAAAGAACTGGTGAAACCTCTAATCGACATCATGAATGGAGGAAAAGGTACCTTTTCCACATGATCAAATACGATTACATCATCGTACAGACCAAGATGTATGTCTGGCAAGTTCCTGTCATCTTCAGGGGCCTTTGAAAATGGAAGCTTCCTCTTCTCAACGTAGCGAATGGTGTCATACGAGAAGAAACCGACCCACCCGCCTACCATGAGAAGCAATCTTATTTTGAGTACCACCTTTCCAGATAGCTAAAGCATAAAGAAAACTAGAGCATACCAAAGAAAAGCAAAGAGTGATATCTCTAGCAGCAAGTGGAAAAGATGCAGGAACAGAAAACAGCAAAAACCAAAGAATGTCTTAGATGAAATTCAAGAACATGGGTTAATTTCGAAATGATTTAGTTCGTTGAATCTAAACAGGGAGTACTAGATCAAATGAAGAGGCCGAAGTTCATCACTGACTGAAGCTTGTTTAAAAAAGCAGAATTTGACTAGTGTTCAACTCACAAAAAGAGGAACTTGGAGGCTTAATCCATTGGTAAACCATTCACAATAATTACCACAAAACGCGTCTGGGAGGTCCTGAACTAGTTGAGGATCGGGTTTCCAAGAGTCCGAGATTGTTTTCGGGATCGTCATTGGATCTTCAACGTACTCCTCGGTCAAAGTTTCATTCTTGTGGTCCATTACAATAACCTTGTTTTCTTTTGCCACAATCTCCATCGCGGGCTGAGCCCCGACAACGCTATAGCGACCCTAACAAGATCAATCGCATCCAACGACAATTAGGAATTGGAGAGATCAAGTGAAAGAAACTGCAAGATTTCACAGAGAAAAGGATAAAATGCTTACAACGCTTGACATCTGAGAGCCAGGCTCCACTGATTCAAAAAGAAAGCTTGGAGCCTCGCGATCATCTTCTTTAACCAGGCATCGGTAAGCAAGAACCGGAGTGAGCTGGTCGGAGAATATACATCGGTAAATTGGTACGAGGTTTGTGCAATTGGAAGCTTCTGCAAACCTTTTTGCATCACTGACTGTAAAAAAAATCCAGAACACAAATAAGCGCGTTGCTGCGATTTAGTTCAGTAGCTGAAAAATCAGAGAAACAATCAGAACCAACATTTCAAAGTCGATGAATCGCTAAACAATTCAAAAAACCCAGAAAATGTAACGTATGGGATCCGTGTTTCGAGATAAACTAACCCACTGAGATTCAAATTTCATACGAGGGGGAAAAAATTTCGACCTAGGTTTGTTCTAATCCTTTTGCCGCAATTTCTCGGCAACCAAACAGGGTAACAACGGTAGAAACGGAAATGGAAGAGCG